AAAGAAAGAAAGAAAGAAAGAAAGAAAGAAAGAAAGAAAGAAAGAAAAAAGCTGAATTGTGAGCACAATACTGGGCAATTTTTTTTTTTATTTACTTAAGTAAATAAATACACCCAACATGGAGCTCCAACTTACAACCCCAAGATCAAGTCACATGCTCTTCCAACTGAGACAGCCAGGTACCCCAAGACTGGGCAATTTTAAAATGACTTGTCTGTATGTCATATCCTTCTATATGTAACAAACTCACAATATAGGAAAATAAACAGACACAACACCTTCATTTTTCTGTCAACCAACATCTTAAAGCCCTCATTTTCAGTGTTGAATGTTTACATGGTAACATGTAAACGTGAGTGTTACCAAACTGTAAATGTTCTACTAATATTGCACCACGTAGATTCTACACATCCAAAAACTCATAAAATGTTTGCAATATAGGCAACAACATGCTAAATTAATTATAAAACTACCACAGCACTAAGATGAGGAACTTGTATTGGGATACAGAAGTTCAATATCAGAGATGCTAAGCAACCTTTATCTACATGAATGGATTCTATAAAGTAGTTTAGTGTAGTCCTGGTTTAAATTGTCAGCTTCACCCAAAGAAAATGGACCTTCTTGTTTGATTATTGGGAGAAACGAGACAGTACTAATAACTACTTATAGTCAACATTCTAAGGGATTGACAACTAAACATTAACTAAATGTGATCAAATTAAAATCATACGTTGCTTCTTATGCCAGTTTACAAAACAAAAACAAAAACATCATCACTCTAAAGTCGTCACCATTTAGTAATCTGAGATATTTTCATTGCAGCTGCAATGTTTTTGTTTGTTGCCTGGCATATGACTCACTCTCAGGTTCTCCCAAGACTGTTGGATTTTTGAGAATGCAGAAATCATAACGGGGGCATACTGTGTGGGAAGTGTCATGACAGTGAATGAATAAAAGGGGGAAAGAACTCCTGATAAAAAAAATTTTTTTAAGTTCTTATAAAAAGCAAGTCACTCACAAAAGGCAGATTTTTCTGCAGAATAGGAAAGGCTGTGAAACCATCCTGGCTCTAAGAAGCCTTCCTTGATTCCCTTGGTTGGATTCTGTGCACGTCTTACTTCTTACACTATAACATACTTAACTGGTTTCCTTGTCTGGCTCCCCAACCAGACTGTAGGCAACTTGAGACCAAAAGGTGTCTTATCTTAGAATCATTAGTACCTACTCCCCTAAATGCCCTGCGTATACAGAGGGCCCTCAGTAGGGGGTTTTCATAAAACTGATCGTTGAATAATCAAGTTAACATTTACCTGTTATTTTACAAAGGACTCTCACAAAACATTACCTCTTTTGACCCACATAACAATGTTGAAATAGAAATGGCATTAGTTAATCAGCTTCTGGTTTTGTAAAGAGTTGTTAATTCACTAAAACGACCTTGAAATCACAAAAGATAATCACTTATTTGTTCATCTTTGATACAACTTCTCCTTGGGACCTCAATGTTCTTGTAAAACCCAGCGGTTTTTACTAGTATTTTCTGTGCCTGCTTTTCATAAAGGTAGGAATCACACACAGCTCTGAATCTTACACGAGATAACTACATAAAGCAGTGTCATATGAAGGCTCTTTTAAGAAATCAGACAGTAAGGAGCATCCTAAGCTATTTTTCCTGATCCTGTTCTTTCAGTGACTCTGAGAAAGTAAGGAATTGCAAAGGGCAAAATGCTGGAGAGTGAATGATGTCATGGATGTCATGAAGTTGCATCAATACCTGATGATGATTTAGCACAACAATGCAACACATTATGCCAAGAAGCATACTTGCTTCTTGGATGTGAACTGCCCTACTTGAGGAGAGGGGCCAGGTTCACTCCCATCCTCAAACCATCAGGATGTTTTACTGCATTATTTCATGACTCGTAGCAAATTAAAATTTAAGGTGGCTCTCCAATTTTCTGTGAAGTTATTTGTTCAGGTTTACGTCTTTATGAAAGGCACTAAGAAAATCTACAAATCTCTATGGGAAAAGCTTTAAGAAAAGGTCAAAGAATTAGCTATTATTAAACCAAGCAGTTGTCATTTTAACAATTAAAAGCTTTTTGAAGCAGACAAAACATCCGTTGGTCAATGTAGATTGAGTAATAGATTTATACTGGGTTTGTCAAAAGCAAACAGTTAGAGGGTATAAAATGACAACATACAATAGAAAGGACACCCAATCAGATTACACACATGAATATGCTCAAAAGTTAGGAATCTGACACAGTCACTATTCACTGTAAAAGCTACATACTGAATTTTAAATGTTCAACTCAAAATGATGGTATTTCTCCTCTAATTTCCTTACCCCCTTAAACCCATGTCGTCATCATTGCAAGCACAAGGAAAACAAATTTAAGTTACAAAGATACTCGGTGTGTCCACGCCAAAGCCATTGCCTCAACATTTTCCCCATAGCACAATTCCAACTGATTCCATCATTCTTCAAGGAAGAGATCACAAGGCTTCAAACCGGCTTCCCAACGTGAGAAACGAAATCAAAACCTCCCAATTAGCAGCTGAACAACAAAAACTTATTCTCAAAAAGGAATAACAAGCACAGTACAATGTCCTTGCCAGCAAGTGAGAACGGGTAAGGTGCTTAAATCTTCACCCAGAGTAATCAGAATCCCACCACAGAAAAGCCCAAAGACTTTGGCAATTAAGGAAAGCTTTTATTTTCTTAATAAAATTCGGGAGATTTAACACAAAAGCAATTAGCTATTCCGAATCTCAAAAACACAAAGGTTTTCAAACAAACGAAGACTTCATTAGCACCGAAGTTACTCTGCAGAGACTATCAAGATCTCAGAATCGGTTTTTCCCCGTTTACAAATTCGTTCCCACCCTCCACCATTCCCTTTGCACAAACAATTCTCACAGTCACAACGTGGATTGCTGTCTCAGTCAAGGAGACCCGCAGTTCCCACTTGGCCAGAGGAACACTCAAAAAGCTAAGCGGTAAGACAGGCTGCTTGTGTTTTATTTTTTAAACCAATTCCAAAATCTGCCCCTTTGCAGCTACAGCTTCCCAGATGCTGGCCCCTCGCCGCAGCCCCAATTTTGGAAGGCACTGGACTCCGGCTCCTCAGCGCAAGACGTTAAAGATCCGGAGGCTGAGTGAAAGATTATTTGACACTCTGAGAGCCATCCTTGCCCTAGTCATACACCCCTTCGTGGACCCGGTGAGGGAATGTGAACCGCCCTACTTGAGAAGAGGGGCCGGGTTCACTCCCATTCCAAGGGCTGGGTGGGAAGGGGCACTCCTCCTCCCTGCCTAACCCAGAGAGGCCGAGGATGACGACAGCAAGGCCCCCAGGCCAGCCGGCACCGACCCCCGCACAGGTTGCGCGGCCTGCGCGGGGCCAGGGACGCCCCCTGCCCCCTGCCCCCTGCGGGCCTGGGGCATAAAGGGCAGAAGGCGCCGGCTCCCCGCCGCGGCCCCAGGAGAGGGAGAAGCCTCACCTGGCCCAGCCCGCGCCACGCTCTCGGGTTCGCTCCGCTGGCGACGGCGATGAGGGAGCCAGGGACAGGGCCAGAGCAGAGGCGCTCCGCCTCAAGCGGCGCTTGCCGCACTGGGGCTCCTTACAGCTGGCGGGACCCAGAGCCGCCCGGAGCCGCCATCTTCCTCCACTCAAACGCCGCCGCCGCTGCTGCTGCTGCTCTGGCCGGGAGAAGACAGTGTGGAGTGCGCATGCGCCGGGGTCCAGCGCGGAGGACGCGCTCGCACATACGTCAGCGCGGCAGGCCCGAGCGAGGCGGCCTGGGGATGGCGCCATGTTGGGAAGGGATGTGGTCCAATGCAGAGGCTCCCCACAGGCTGGAACGCCGCCCGGGGCAGTGAAGCTGGGGTGCGGAAACGTCGCGCTTCTGCGCCCGCCTTCCTTGAGTCCCTACAACCGACCTCAGGGCTGCACCCACCCTCCTTTGCACTTAGGCCTAGGGGCAACTGGGCAGTTTTCCCAATGGCTTGAGACTGTATAGACCTAGGGCCGGGAATCAACTCTAACTCATTTAGACCCCCGGGGGCCTGATGAGCACAAGGGAGGGCTGTGGTGAATGGAAGTGCTCTTGGACGTCAACTGAAGAAGGGAACCTCAGTGCCTTGATTGTGCAATCGAAGCCTCCCTTAATGGAGGCGACCACTGTGTGACTTGTTACTAGCTCCATTTTTCAGATGAGGAAAACTGAGGCGCAGAGTATTATCACTATATTTTCCCGAAGCCACACATCTGAGGGGCAAGATGGGGGTGGGGAAGACAGGGCAGAATTTGGACTTAGGCATATATGATTCCCAAGCTCCAGTACTTTACGGTATCACTATCACGAGGCGGCGGGGTCCAACAAAATACCCCTTTCAAGGGGGAAACCTGGTGTGTAGGTGAGAATCTTCATGGACTCATGAGTACAGCAAGTGGTCTAAGGAAATGCCAGAGATACAGAGCCCAAGGGCTTCGGTCTTCACCGTTTGCCCCTGAAACTAAAGCACTCTTCAGCTGCCAGCCCACCGTTCAGGAATAAAGGCGACCTTCTGGGGTATCTCTTGGGACATAGGTCTGGGTGAGAACCCAAGTCCCCTCTCAAGTTGGGAGGGCAAGGTGTTGTTGAGGAGACGTGGGTCAGCCTCACTCCAGAAAACACTGGATCTGTGGTCCTCAAACTTGAATAATGCAGAGGCCCCAGGGGATATACTCATGGAATCCCAGTATGAGAAACTCTGATTTAAGAAACTCAAAGTCTTTCAGTTAGGAAATATCATTATGAAAGAGAAACTTGACAACTGTAACTGGCAAAAGAAATACTAAAAATCCTCGGGCGCCTGGGTGGCTTAGTCGTTTAGGCGTCTGCCTTCGGCGCAGGTCATGATCCCAGCGTCCTGGGATCAAGTCCCACATCGGGCTCCCTGCTCAGCGGGAAGCGTGCTTCTCTCTCGCCCACTCCCCCTGCTTGTGTTCCTGCTGTCTCTGTCTCTGTCAAATAAAAAAAAAAAGAAAAGGAATTCTAAAATCCTGTCATTAAAAACCCCAAGCATAGGGCGCCTGGGTGGCTCAGCTGGTTAAGCGACTGCCTTCGGCTCAGGTCATGATCCTGGAGTTCCGGAATCGAGTCCCGTATCGGGCTCCCTGCTCGGCAGGGAGTCTGCTTCTCCCTCTGACCCTCCCTCCTCTCATGTGCCCTCTCTCTCTCATTCTCTCTCTCAAATAAATAAATAAAATCTTAAAAAAAAAAAAAAACCCAAGCATAAAAATTGCCATAGAGCTTGTGACCAATCCCATCACCCACCAAAATACTCTATGGAGCTCAATGTTAGAAACACTGGACCAGCTATTAAGTGCTTCCTTTTAAAAATGCAGGTTCCAGGGCCCACCTTAGGACACCCCACCCCACCTCAGACTTTTTCTGAAACTTTGTAGGACTTCTGGTGCTCAGGTTGGTTTGGAACTGCTGGATCATGTTAGAACAAGTTCAAATATAGAACCACTCCCCCACTCAATTTCCTAAGTCAAAGACAGCAGATAGTTCTGTTTTGTTCACTGCTATATCATCTAATATAGAGACTGGCACACAGTAGAGACTTACCAAGTATGTGTTGAATAAGTGAACACATTGGGAATTTGACAACTAAGAGGGCATCTAGTCAACAAATATTTAGTGAGCACCTATATGTGCCAAACCATGTAATATGTATAGTAACATTTTTAAATAAAACTAACAAAGCCCTGTGCCCTCGTAGAGGTCCCCTAGAGTTACTGGGAGAGAAGACAATAAACAAGTAAATAAGCCAATATAAAATTATTAATTGTGATAAGCATGACAGTATTATTATTAAAGCAAAATCTTTGATAATAATCATAGCTGATGTTTATTGTGTGCTCTTATTATGTATCAAACTGCTAAGTAGGTGCCATTATTGTGCTTATTTTGCAGATGATGAAACTGGGGGGCGCCTGACAGGCTCAGCTGGTGGAGCATGTGATTCTTGATCTCCGGATTGTGAATTTGAGCCTCACATTGGGTGTAGAGATCACTTAAAAATAAAATCTTTTTTTAAAGATTTTATTTATTTATTTGACAGAGACACAGCGAGAGAGGGAACACAAGCAGCGGGAGTGGGAGAGGGAGAAGCAGGCTTCCCGCAGAGCAGGGAGCCCGATGTGGGGCTCGATCCCAGAACCCTGGGATCATGACCTGAGCAGAAGGCAGACACTTAACGAATGAGCCACCCAGGCGCCCCAAAAATAAAATCTTAAAAAAAAAAAAGGGCAAAAGAAACTGAGGCACACAGGGATTAACTAGCTCAACCCAGGATCACAGGCAAAGGTTTGAACCCAGGTGGTTTTGCTTCAAAGACTTTGTTATTATTATTAATTTTGTTCATTATTTTTTCCAACTTTTTTATTGTGGTAAAATACACATAAAAAACAAACAACATTTACTATCTTACCCTTTTGAAGTAGCATTCATTGCTATTAAGTACATTCATATTGTTGTGCAACCATCACCACCATCCAGCTCTAGAACTTTTTTTTTAAAGATTTTATTTATTTATTTGACAGAGAGAGACACAGCAAGAGAGGGAACACAAGCAGGGGGAGAGGGAGAGGGAGAAGCAGGCTTCTGGCAAAGCAGGGAGCCCCATGCGGGGCTCGATTCCAGGACCCAGGGATCATTACCTGAGCTGAAGGCAGATGCTTAACGACTGAGCCACCCAGGCACCCCTAGAACTTTTTTTTTTAATGAACTATAGTTTGACATACAATATTATATTGGTTTCAGGTGAATGATATAATGATTCAACATTAATATACATTTCAAAGTGATCACCACAGACATATCTACCAAGGGTTACCACATAAAGTTGTTACATATTACTAACTGTATTCCCCATGGTGTACATTGTACACAGCGAGTACATGATCCCATTGTACATCGCTGTGTCTTTTTTATTTTATTCATTTATTTATTACATATTTATATTCATATATTTATTATTTATTTATATATTATTTTTATTTTATGACTGGAAGTTTGTACTTTTCATCTCCTTCCCCTATTTCACCCATTCTCCCACCTCCTCCCTCTGGCAACCACCACATTGTTCTCTGTATCTATCAGTCTGTTTCTGTTTTGTTTTGTTTGTTCATTTGTTTCAGGGTTTTTTTTTTTTAAGATTTTATTTATTTATTTGAGAGAGAGAGAGAATGAGAGAGAAAGCACATGAGATGGGGGGAGGGTCAGAGGGAGAAGCAGACTCCCCGCCGAGCAGGGAGCCCGATGCAGGACTAGATCCAGGGACTCCAGGATCATGACCTGAGCCGAAGGCAGTTGCTTAACCAACTGAGCCACCCAGGCGCCCTCAGG